AAAGACAATTCTACATGTTTCTAGGTAGATTTCCAACTCCTATCTGGAATTAATTGTTTAATTTATATCTAAATCTTAAATCTAAATATTGGATCAAATCTTTTATCTTTAAATCTACAGAGGGAATGGTTTTTAACCATTCCAAAACTCGTGGCCCCTCCCCCAGCGTATGGGGGACCAATCAGAAGGGGAAGATTTGTGCGCTGGGGGTGTGGCCAAGAGTTAAGATAATAAAGAGTTTGGTAGATTTTTATACCTTTAGAATATTTAAGCTTGCAATTTAAGATTTAGATTAAAGATATAGATCTATATAGATATAGATTTAGATTTACAGATCGCTTAGGCCTTAAAATGTATATGTAGCTCTAGGGTGTAGAAATAGATCTATTACATGCATACAGGTGTAAGTTTTAGATATGGATTTAACATTTATAACTGATATTCTCCTTGAAATGTTGGAAAAAAAGATTAAAATGTTAATAAAGAGCAGAAAACAACAGATTGGAAGTTTTTTGCTGAATTTTTACGTTTTGGAGCCAAAATCTTAGCAGATTTCATCAGAGCCGTTTTTCTTCTCTGAAATAATCAAAGATCTGATGCTGTTGGCCTTCAGACTTCCTGCTCGGTTACAGAAATTATTCTTTAGAAGATGGTGCAACACAGTCTGGTTCCTGTTTGCTTTGCTTTCATGTTGCATGAAAACTTTGAAATGTCTCAGATATTATGTAGGCCCTGAGATCATTAATCCTGCTGAGTCTAAAAGGTTTTAACAAAACAAAAACATTTTTAGAACATGTTTGATCTGCAGAATAGAAATAAGCTTCTGTTAAAAAGGGACAAAAAGGAGCCGCAGCGAGAAAACAGCAAAAAGCTGTTAAATGGAGACAAATCGTTGAAAACATAAAAAGGTAATAAACGTTTTATTTCTGTTTGAGGCTTCATGGTCCAGTAGAACACATCAGCAGAGATCTGATCGTCTTTGCTGTTTTTCTGGATCCTTAAGTTTTATCCAAACATGTTGAATCAGTCCAGTTATCAGAAAGTCTGGTCCAGCCATGCAGAGNCCCCAAACTTTTGAACAGTAGTGTACATCTTAAATATCGGCATATATTGTCTTTGTTAATCTATCCATTCGCATCGTATCGTTAAATTCCTGCTGCTTCATTGATAAGTAGCTGTTTTTTAAAGCTTGTGTCTGTTTTTCTGTGCTCAGTGTTCCCAGTGCAGCAAACTCGCTCCTACCAGAGATATTCCCACGAGAATCCCCAGAACCGCAACAAGGAGAACCTAAACCTGGTGAAAGTCGGTTCTGACCCGCTGCAGGCAGACGGTGAGTCTTCTAACAGCTCCATCCAACAGCTGCTTCAGATACTAATCATGTCTGCGCTTTTCCTCCATTATAACCTGTTTTCATTGGTTCCCTGTGATGGGAGGTTGCTGACTGATGCAGGATTCATTCATGATCGCCCAGCGGTTCATTCTGTGTGTTTCTGTCTCAAAAAGTCCCCTCCAGGATTCTTTGGACCCAGATTAGTAGCGTTGACAGCGCGTCAGTAGATACAGACTATGAGCAGTATGACCCGAGCAATGACCCGTCTGTCAGGCTTTCAACCTTTCAGAGTGAGCTGCTCTCCTTTTCTTGCTCTTGTTTTTTTCTCTGGGCCATTTGCTTGGTTTGGTTTCTGTTGTTGCGGTGGAAGATGCGCCGCAGTTCGTCTTCAGCCTCTGCAGATTGATGCATGTTGCACGGAAACTGTGCTGAAGGCTCTGTGATTGGACTGATGCAGCGTGCTGTTCCGTCTGCAGATTCTCAGAGATACAGAACCGAACCCAATGCTTCACTGAAGCCTCCGGCTCTGAGCAACCTCGCTGAGGAAGGTGAGTCACTGCAGAGATGCAACCCTTTGCACTTCTTACACACAAGGCTGTGGTACAACATTCAGCAGATTGTTTTTACTGATTTGATTTTAATCTGTTATCAAAGACCAAAGTGAGAGATTTTAAAAAAAGATTAGAACCCACTGAGCAGCTGAAGCATCACATCAGGAAGCAATTGTCCATAAAAGACAATTCTACATGTTTCTAGGTAGATTTCCAACTCCTATCTGGATTTAATAGTTTAATTTATATCTAAATCTTAAATCTAAATATTGGATCTAAGTATATGTCTTTTAATCTACAGAGGGAATGGTTTTTAACCATTCCAAAACTCGTGGCCCCTCCCCCAGCGTATGGGGGACCAATCAGAAGGGGAAGATTTGTGCGCTG